GTCAAGTATTTACCCCCCGACGAGAAAATTTAGCGCCATTGGCGCTCGGGCGCTTTAAAGGTCCACCCCGATACAAGACATCTCGCTACTCAAAAGACCAAGATTCCTTGCGAACAGAGCATGCGCAGAACACACGCTTTGATGGGGATATCCCGATATGCGTTTACACGATCAAACATTCGGGTTAGAAAAGGGTTACCCCAGGTGTAGTAACCGGGTTTTTAAAAACCCGGTTATGAGCATATCCGGGTTTTTGGCGGTGTTTACAAGGACCTGCTGAACCGGGTTATTGTGAATATTCAGGTTTTAAAAGGGTTACTGGCTGCATGTAAACGCACTGATTCATTTGAAACCCTTTAACTGCTGTGAATGGATCATGGACATTTTTGGAAGAAGACAAATAATAAACATCATCGGATATAAACACAAGCTGCAATTCTTTTAAACACACGCAAAGACCACCACCCCCATCAGTAACCAGTAGTGCCAGTGTATAGTTCGGTATTTTTCCTGTACTTTCTCCCCCATTTTTAGTCCATGCTCCATTGAGGTAGCTGGCAAGGCAGAGTTGGGCCAATATCGTGATTCTGGATGCTGATTGGCTAGGGGACGGAATTACGGGTTTCTCCAGAGTTCTGCCCCCCACCACCCCCACCCCCGCGCTTTTCAGGACGCACCGACAGGGGGCAGCAACCCTAAACACCGACGAACAACTGTACAGCAACTGCTGATAAAATTTACTGGAGCCGCCCATACCTCTCGCATGCAAATAAAACCCACCCCGCGAGAATTCTATTCGAGCCAATATGCACTGAGATAAACCACACTTTGAGAGAAGTCTTGATCTCACCTGGACTCCTGCTCGTTTACCCCTTTTCCTCCGATGTTTTCTCGGGATCAGATAAACATCACTGGAGGCGTTCAGGTAGGAATCAGCGTTTGGCTGCGGGCCAGCGCGCTGCTCACGTAAACAGACATGGAGGTAATTATTCGGTGCATCTTGGGCGATTGCGGACAAACGGAATGACAAGAGTCTGGTAGACGGTAGCCGGGACACTACCAAAGAGGATCGCGGACAGAAGCAAGGCGACAAGGAGAAGGTAAGTAGAGAAAAGTTTGAAAACGTGATCGGTGACCGCCGCTAATCCAAGCACAGGCACCATCCCACTACCAACCCGAATATGGGAAAGGGAGATTAGAATGCTAATTGAGTAATAAGTATAATCTGATCTCATGTTTATAAAATGATGACATCAAACAGACAAAAAATAAGAAGTTATGGGAAAATTCTGGTATTTTAAAGACAAAGGGGAAAATGTAAACAAACATTATGATTACAAAATATCAAATTGTAGACACAAACTGATGACATTTTCCTGATATAGAGGGTTTAGTTAGTTAACACGTTAAAAAAAATACTGCGATAATAATGAAAACCATGATAACTTTGGTCACAATAACAGCAAGGTTACATTTTCACACCGTGACAACTCTATTATGTTCTAGGGATGCACCGATGGATCGGCATTTGATCGTAATCGGCCGATAGCGCCCCTATCGGTTTTGATCGGAGTTTTCAAAATAGATCAAAGCAGACCGATCAGGTAGGGTTGTCACGGTAACCAGTGTAGCGGTAAACCCCGGTAAAAAAAAAAGTTGACAATAATAATTGTCTTGTTTTTTAAAAAACTATATTATCTTGGTGGATCACCGTGGCTGTGGTGTAGGCGCGGTGACCCTTACCAGCCACCGTATCATCTGCTGAAGTTGCTGGCGGCACATGCGCGCTTTGTTGTTTACAACCAAAACTTTCTTGAAGCTAAAGCTGAAATAATGGTCAAAGGGTGACCATCACCCACAACTCTACAGTCAACGCAGGGCAAGCTAACGTTAGCGTTTTAGCTAAAATGCGTGATCCGAGGATTTGGGTTGAGGGAGAATGCAACGAGTCTCTATATAAAGCAGCCGCAGCAGCCGCTACTTGCATATAAACCGTGTCGCGGACACCCCCATGTTGAAATGACGCTATGCATTACGGGACTCCCAGGGGCAGATAAGAGTTGGTCTCTCTCCGAGAATAATTATGAATTTAACAATGATTACTGCCTGATGACATTTTCCCCACATCTGCAAAGCTCACTGGAACACAAACCGAGGACAATATTTTCCTGATATAGGGTTTATTAGGCTGAAAGAAGACACCACGTCTCACCTATTCTTAAAACGCTTCACTGGTTGCCCGTTAAATTCAGGATCAATTATAAAATTTTACTTCTCACGTTCAAATCCTTGAACGGTCAAGCGCCTCCCTATCTGTGTGATCTCCTTCATTACTACCACCCTCCTCGAGCTCTTAGGCCTGAAGATCAACTCCTCTTAACTGTCCCTAAGGCACGTTTGAAGACTCGTGGGGAAAGGGCTTTTTCAGTCTGCGCCCCAAAGTTATGGAACTCATTGCCACTGCAGGTTAGGCAAGCTTCCTCTATCGCCGTCTTTAAATGTCGTCTGAAGACCTTCTACTTCACTTACGCATTCGATCCCTAATTCCATAACTCCTTAGCTCATCCATTGTCCCTCCTAGACAATTCAATTTTAATTTTGTGTTTTTATATTCTGGTTTCATTTGCTTTTACTGTTAATAGTCTTGTTTTTATTTCTTTTGCTCCTTTTTACATTTTCCATCTACCTGACTATTTTAACTTGTGTTTTCTTGCTTGTTTTTTGTGCAGCGCTTTGTATGGTTGTAATGCCGTGTTGAAAGCGCTATATAAATAAAGTGGTATGGTATTACTCAAGTAAGGGTAAAAAGTATCTGATTAGAAGGCTACTTGAGTACTGAGTATCATCTGATCTAATATTTGTAAAATGACGACATCAAACAGACATAAAATAAGAAGTTATGGGCAAATATTGGTATTTTAAAGACTAAAGGGAAAAAATGTAAACAAATGTAACGTGAGGAAATATGGGTTTTCTGTGCCAAAGGCTGCATTTGCCCGGCTGGGTCAAAAGCTGGGTCGCGCAGAACTTTCACCCACAGATAAAGACCTTCCCCGCCAGCGAGTCTGCAGCAAACCACAACATCCAACACCTGCAGCTTCCCGAAGAAGGAGTTCTCACAAAATCTAGTCATAAGAAAAAAAAGTCTTAAACTTCCTTTTCTTTATATTAAATGTTAAATAATCATTTGATCATTTTGCTCATTATAAATGTGTTTTAATCAAATGAATGATTATTATGCTTTGGGTAATCATAATGAACTATAATGAATCAATACTTAATTAAATAATGTGTTGGGAGATGTTTGGTGATGACCTTCACACTCGCTCACACAGGTCTGCATTCACAGTAACTCCAAAACACATTTGCTCTGACACACAAGTTTGCTTTGGGAAGAGAAGTGGCTTTTGGTAAGATAGTCAGTTCATGTTTCAGTTCGAGTTTGACAACGAGAGAGAGAGGACGTGGGAACAAACGCCAACGGGGAACGGAGCCGCCGGCTCCTGTCCCCCCCCCCCCCACGCTATTCCTGTCAAGCCAGACAGGATAGCTGAAACGCAGCCAGCTACTGCAGACTTGTCCAGAGTCTTTGATTTCTGAGTTAATTTAAACTTGAGAAAGCGCATCTGCGAACGCGTCAACAACGTGTACCGGGGGGCAATTCTGGACTGGATCGTCAGCACACCTTTGTCTCCTCTGCCAGCCAAGGTGTCATCTGGAGCACACACCCTCCTGGGATCCGGGTCTGAAAAGGGGGTCCTCGTACGGTGAGGCAGACACGACAGATAGCAATCTGATGCATCTTTTCTGATAAGAACTAAGTTTATGTCAAACCATCATTTTCACTCAGAGACACCTTTCTCCCCCTGAAGCAACCTACATCTGCACACACGCATCCATAATCACATCACATCAACTTGTCTTTTCATTGAACTGAAACACAGACCCACGGATAAGATTGTCAGTTTATCGATGAAAACAACCATTGAGTCTTCTTAACACTATAAAATTTGGTTATTAATTTATTAAAATTAATATTACGAATTAATATGTAGAATGGTTCCTCTTTAATAAAAGAGCCATAAACCATTACACTACACAAACAACATAATTACAAAATAACACATTTTAGGCAAAATTTAGACACAAACTGAGGACAATATTTCCTGACATACAGGGTTTATTTAATTGTGTGAAAATGTAGCACGTTTTAAAAAAAATACCGCGATAATACCGAAAACCGTCGTAATTTTGGTCACAATAACCGTGCGGTTAAATTTTCACACCGTGACAACCTTAATACAGACCATTTTAGATTATGTTACATTTCCTTTATTTCCAGATTATGTAGTTTGTAGCACTCATTATAATGTTGTAGAAAATTTCTGGCCAATCCACGTGATTGGTATCGGTGACCGGTATCGGTGATCAGCATTCTTTGATATCGGTATCGGTGATTGGCAGCAAAAAGCCTGATCGGTGCATCCCTATTATGTTCCAGTCATGAGTCATTTATATTTAAGTATGCTAATGTTTCTTGCATTGCATCGTGGGAATTTTGGGCAAGAAATTATGTATTTTACTTATAATTTGGTTGGTTTACTTACTAATTGTGACCACTTACAAAACATTACAATCAATGTATCAAAATATGATTATGAATCACTGAAGAAGCAAGCCATAACCAATTATAGTGGAATGCAGTTTTGTTTTTTTACCGCGGCACCAGCGTTAGATCCAAACGTAAAATATAGTCAGGATTCTAAAATTAACTCTAAAGTTAACGGGTAACCAGTGCAGAGACGTTAGAATAGGAGTGATGTGAGCTCTTCCGTTTGCTCCAGTTAGGAGCCTCGCTGCACATTTGCCTTTTATTTGACTAAAGTCGTCACATAAAAGGCAGCCCTAAAATAAAGCTGATTTGCCTAAAATGAGCAGTTTCAAGAAGTCCCTTATTGTGACATCACAGTAAGGAAAACAAGCATAGCACCCCCCCTCACCTGTTGACCCCAGAGCAGCAGCAGCTCTGATCTCAGCCTCAGGAAGCAGTGACAAAAGGAGTTGGTGTCTGTCTGGTTCTGCTTCATCGTGGTCTCTTTCCTCACCAGCAGGAGTCACAAGGGAGGTCACCGTCTCCTGCTTCAGTACACACTGCTCTTCATCCGGACTGATGCAGAGCTCCTCTTGTTTTACTATCTGCAAAGGTTCTGGCTCATCCTGCTCCACTTTCATCTGTGGAGGTTCTGGTCCCTCCTGTAAAGGTTCTGCTTGTTCCTGCTCCAAACTGGAGGTCCTCTCCTGGTTCCAGAGCTGCTGGTCAGTCAGAACCTCCTCATCTGTCCTGACATAATGCAGTGGGAGTTCTGGACAGACAAACAGACCAAACAAAAAGCTGAGTCATGTGACAATAAGAAAGCACACTTCACTTGAACCATCTGATGCATCTGAAGATGTTTTAGAAAACAATGAACTCTTAATCTGTGTGTGTGTGTGTGTGTGTGTGTGTGTGTGTGTGTGTGTGTGTGTGTGTGTGTGTGTGTGTGTGTGTGTGTGTGTGTGTGACTGGACTGACTCGTTTAACAAGTCTCTGATTGTAGAACATCAGCTGGAAGCGTTCACCAAGTCTTTAAAGTTTGTCTCTTTTAAACTGATTTAGTGGAGTTCCTGAAAATGAAAACTTCCTAAAATCCCTGAAATGTTATTGATTTGTTTCTCTAAAGTGGAACAAAGTTGACCGCAGACTGATTTCAGCTCAGTTGGGTCAAAAAGCTTCAGAACAGCAAACGGATCCAAGCAGACTGTCCTGAGATTGTGTCCTCAGTAAACCCACATGAGTCCCGCTGCTGTTTCATACCTATTCTGTGTAAGTTGATCTGTGGTTTCCAGCTGATCTCCAGCAGTCTGCGCTGACGATCGATCTCTTCCTCGTAGCGGACGATGGTTTTTTCAAACTCGGAGAAGATTTCTGCAGCAGCAGCAGTTAGCCGCTCTCTGATCACCTCTCTCAGAGACTGAGCTGAAGACATTGTTGCTGCAGAGCCTCAGAGGTTCCCCTCACACACCAGCACAGCAAGCTAGCGCTGGTAGCTAACAGCAAGCTAGCTCTGATAACAGCTTCTGGTCATGTGGCAGCGTGAAGGCGCGTTAGCGCCACCTACTGGACTGGAGTTGGACCAGCAACAACAAGGAAGAGATGAAGGTGTGGAGTGGGAAATGGAATAGCTGGATCCAAAGAATGAGCAAAAACACAGTTGCACCAGATTTGTAATTTTATATAGAAATATGAAAATAGAACAAAAAATACTGCAGCTGTAATAGACATATAATTAAACAATTAGGCCTTTCCCCCTATATCAGTAAACCTAGTCAGGCTGAGCTCAAAGTCATTCTTCTATTTGGTCGTAGTCTAGTCAAAAAGAAAGTCTCCTCGGTCTTGTAAAACTCAGGTTCAGTGGTCTGAGTGGTTACCACTGGAATGTTGGCTCAGTATAGAAGAATGATGTTCTCCTGATCGGGATACAGTTCAGTTCGGGCACAGGCTCGCCATCTCCATCCGGAGAGAATCCAGGACTCCAATCCACTTCAGTCCCGTACCGAGCATAAAAACCTAGCCTGCACAACAATAATGCAATTATTGTTTACAGCTAAATAAAATTCTCATCTCTTATTCTCACAGCTATAGCTTTTACAATCTTTTCTTTCTTCATCCTTCAAATTACCATAGTAAGAATTTACATGCATGTTCATTTCTTTTCTCAAAATACATTTTGGCAATACATGAAACATGTTTTTAACTCACGTAACTAATAGTTTGAATCTTTTAGTAGAAGGAAGAAAGTAGCTGAGGGGGGTCAGAAATGTTGCCAGATTAGTCGCTAGGCACTATTTTGAAAAAAAAAAAGTCGTTAAGGGGGTCTGAAATGTCGTTAGAAATGGCGACAAAGTCACTAAGTTGGCAACACTGCAAGCTGCAAAAACGCACATGCTCATTGCTCGCTCCCGCGGTGCGCACAAACACAATTCAATTCAAGTTTATTTATAAAGCGCCAAATCACGACAAGAGTCGTCTCAAGGCACTTCACATAATAAACATTCCAATTCAGGTCAGTTCATTAAGCCAATCAGAAAAAATGTTTCCTATATAAGGAACCCAGCAAATTGCATCCTTTACAGCAATCCTCATACTAAGCAAGCATATAGCGACAGTGGAGAGGAAAACTCCCTTTTAACAGGAAGAAACCTCCAGAGAATCCCGGCTCAGTATAAGCAGCCATCCTCCACGACTCACTGGGGATCGAGAAGACAGAGCAGACACACACACACACACACACACACACACACACACACACACACACACACACACACACACACACACACACACACACACACACACACACACACACACACACACACACACACACACACACACACACACACACACACACACACACACACACACACACACACACACACACACACACACCAATGTGTCTATGGTTACATTGTGATTGCTTAGTAAATATTCCATTTGGCGAGAGATAAACTTTATTGTATTTATCTTAGTGGATCTATGATTAAAGGTGTTCCCTGGCCAGGCAAGAGACGTAGTCCCTCCCTGGGTCTCCCTTTAGGTATCCTACCGGTTGGACGTGCCTGGAAAACCTCACCAGGGAGGCGTCCAGAAGGCAATTTAATCAGATGCCTGTCAAGATGGCGCCATCCACGGCCTGCCGTCTGCTCTCCCGATTGTTGTTTTTGCTTTTTATTTTCCTGTGTTGCTCTTTGGTGGATAGTAGCTCAAATTTTCGCTATTATCGCCTCACCCTTCTTGAACTTCGGCATAAACTTGGATTTGCCTATCACCGCTGTTTGGATCTAAGACGGTCCTTCGCCCCGCTGTTTACGGCGGTCCCGCAGACGTGGCAAACGCGGGGGTTCCAAAGTGCAGCTCAGAGCCTCCTCCGGCCGTTCGTGCATGGGATGTAAACCTCACCTGTCACCAGAGTTGATACATGGAGATCATCGGACCTTCCGCATTCCATCGCTCTGTCGAAGATTCTTTGAGGAATCCAGTCGCCGGAATTCCTCAACCACCAACCCGTGGATGCACCGTGGCGTCAACCAAGCTAACCTTTGCTATCCTACGGTGGCCCAAGCGGTCCAGTCACCCCGGTCAGCTGATTAGGGTCTTCCACCGATCTTCAGGGTAGCTCTCCTAAACGCCCAGTCAATTGGGAATGAAACCCTCATTTTAAGGTATTATTTTTTCCAGCATGAGGTGACATTGTTCTGCATGAACGAGACCTGGGTTCTTCCTGGTGAGTCAGCTGCTCTGTCAGAGCTCTGTTCTTCAGACTGTCAGGTTCTGAACGAGCCCAGGCTCACTGGTCGTGGTGGTGGATTACTAACCATGTTCAGATCCTCTTTCCATCCTAAAAAACGTACTATACCAGTGACTCCAGCCAGCTTTGAGTTTATGGCTTTTGAGGTGGACTTTAGTCCTCCACTGCTGTTTATTCTCTGCTATCGCCCACCTAAGTACAATTCAAACTTTTTATCGGAATTTTCTGATCTTTTAACAGACTTTCATCCAAAATATGACTGTGGGATTATTCTTGGTGATTTTAATATACATGTTTGCTGCCCTGACAGACCTCTTGTTGGTGACTTTTTAGACATTTTAGATTGTTTTGGTCTCCAGCAACAGGTCCAGTCACCCACCCATTCAGGATCGCACATTTTAGCCTAGCTGCGACTCTATCCACTTCCCAACCTGATTCCGCCTGTGTAGGAGTTGAGGAGCTGCTGACCTCTTTCAACTCTGCCTGCTCAACTGTTTTAAATGCAGTCGCTCCTCTAAAATCCAGACATAAAAAAACTGTGGCAGGCCCTTGGCTCAATGAGGAGACTCGTGCCTTAAGACGCCAATGTAGGGTCTGCGAACACCGGTGGCGGAAGGACAAGCTGCAAATCTACAAATTATTCAAGGACTCTTTGACCCGCTATCAGAAAGCTGTCCGCACAGCTAGAAACAGATATTTTGCAAATATAATCACTAGGCATAAAAACGACCTGAAGAAACTGTACAGTGTCCTCACCTCTGTACTATCCCTTAGAGATTCTCCCAACTCTTCTCCCTCTACAGGGGCTCTTTGCAATGAGTTTCAAAACTTTTTCCTGCATAAAATCCAGGATGTTAGATCCGGTTTCTCTTACTCAGGCTGGGTTACCTGTGTGGAACCTCACTGTCCACCCTCATTCTCTTGCTTTGCTCATGTCACTCTCTCTTCCCTGGTTGATCTTATCTTGGCTATGAAGCCCTCAGGCTCTCCAGAGGACAGCCTTCCTCCAAGACTGCTGCGCGATGTCCTTCCAGCGGTGGCCCCTGCTGTTTTGGATATTGTCAATTCCAGCTTCTCCTCTGGTGTGTTTCCAGCTGCTTTTAAAAATGCAGTTGTTCAGCCGCTATTGAAGAAACTAGGCCTTGACCAGTCTGACTGTGCCAATTATCGCCCAATCTCAAAACTTTCATTCATCTCAAAAGTAGTTGAGAAACTGGCTCTCACGCAGCTTACTTCTCACCTAGATGACAGTGGGCTTCTTGACCCATTCCAGTCAGGTTTTAGACGTAATTACAGCAGAATCTGCACACATTAGGGTACTCGATGACATCCTGATTCTGAATGACTCTGGCTCCCATGTGCTGTTACTCTTACTCGACCTGACTGAAGCATTCGACACTGTAGACCACACCATCCTACTTCACAGACTTGAATTTTGGGTGGGTGTGACCGGTACTGCCCTCAAATGGTTTAAGTCATACCTTAATGGTCGGTGTTTTAGTGTTCTTGTTGGAGACCGCTCTTCTACCAATGTCCCACTTCCATGGGGTGTACCACAGGGCTCCATCCTGGGTCCTCTCCTCTTTTCAATTTACATAATACCACTTGGTAAGATTTTAGCAAGTCTCGGGGTTAACTACCACTTTTATGCAGATGATTGCCAGATCTACCTTCAAATCAACCAACAGCACTCATTTTCTATAATGTCAGAATGCCTCTCCCAGGTCAGATCCTGGCTTTCTCAAAACTGCCTATGATTAAATGACAGCAAATCAGATGCCATACTTTTTAGCCCCACTAACATGAATGGTGCTTTAGATGTCTCAACTCTCCCACTAAATCTCAAATCATGTGCCACTAGCCTAGGTGTGAAACTGGACTCTGACCTTTCAATGTCTTCACAAGTCAACGCTACTGTCAAGTCCTGCTTTTTCCAACTCCGCCACATCACTCGTCTTAAGTCAATCCTAAAACGCCCGGATCTTGAGTCAGTCATTCATGCTCTTATTACTTCACGTCTGGATTACGCAAATTCTGTCCTTATTGGGATTGATGCTTCAGCCTTAAGCAAACTGCAGAAGGTTCAAAATGCCGCGGCCAGATTTTTAACCAACACCGACAGACGCTGGGGGGGGGGGGGGGGGGGGGTTGGTTGGGGGTGGACTGATGGGACATGTCCCCTCCAATATTGGACAAACGCACATTTGTCCGCCCCAATAACATGGAGAAGAAAAAAATTGATTTAGAAATATTTGACTTGCGAGCTTTTATTTTGAAAGACACCGCAGACTTCTCACTGACACAGCCCCTCCCCTCAGGCAGTAAGGCTGGCTGAGTGAAGCGGGAGTCAGAGCCGGGATGACAGCAGCTCTGCGAGTTCTTCTCATGGGCAAAAAAAGAAAGAAAGGAAATGTGAGTTGGTAATAATTTAGTCCAAGAGAATAATTGTATTTCTGGTCAAACGCTAGACTGGCTGACTAATGTAAACATCTTGCTAGGCAGCATTTAACATTAAACAACACTGCTAGTCAACAAAAAATGGTGAACTTGACACGATTCGACAGTAACAGACAAAAACCATTTGACACGAAATAAATAAAAAAGTAGACTCTCCACATAAAAATGGAATTTGTAAGTGTGATTGTTGCTTGTTTGTGACATTCTCATCACATTTCATTTTTTATACCTTATTGATGTCACTCTTTTCATATAAGAGACCAGAGGAACTTCAGCAGGAAAATGATGAAGAAGGTGAGACAGGGAGCACCAGACCTGCTGAGGGTGAGAC